TGTCTTGACAGCCCCTCTTTGGATGGAGCCCCCTCCACAGATATGGGGTGTATCATAAAAACGTTGGCTGGAGCAGTGTAGGTTGGACTCATCTTCAGTCCTGCCTAATTTCATGTTGATCAGTGCAGCCATTTTTGTGCTACGGTTGACCAAAAATCACTGAAAAAATGAAAAAATAAAAATAAACCATATGAAAACAATATGACTCCTGCTTACACTTCGCCTGCGGGGGTCAAAACTATAAACTGTCAAATCCACAAAGATTACCTTTACTTGTGCAACCTTTGCACGTCAGTTCTCTGTAGCTAATTCCTCCGGTTTTTAGTTCTGGTAGAACTGCCTGTTAGTCCATCATCTTTCCTTGGTCATATTCCACTCAAATCAAATGCCTGCATCATTCCTTGGTTCAGTAGGCTACATGTCCATCTGTCTGTCCATCCATCTGTCCTTCAATCCATCCATCTATCTTCTGGTTAGCCAATCCAGTGGACGCAGTAGCAGTAGAGAGCCCAGACTTCATTCTCCCCAGCAACTCAAAGAAACTCCGGGGAATCCCGAGGCGTTGCCAGGCCAGCCTAGACGTCCCTCCAGCTTGTTCTGGGTCTTATCTGGCTCTCTTCACAGTGGGATATGACCAGAATGCCTCACCGTACCTTTCTTTCCATTAAAGGCACAGTGTGTAGGATTTTGTCAATTCTTTTAGCCGAAATTGAGATAATCACTAATAACAGTAATAAAAAACATGTCAAATCATTGCAGACAAAGACTTTGTTTTATTATTTTTACCTTATAAAAAGCTGTTTATATCTCCATGGTCGCNGACTTATCTTACAGTTAAAATGTTTCGAACACAGAACACCAATATGCCATGGAACAACAAAGTCAGCCCATTTACATTATACAATATATAAAGAGATTTGTTGTTCAATAACTCTCTTACTTTATACAGTAATGTAACAGATGTAGCTGTTTTAAGTGATTTAAACGATATTTCCATGACAGCTTTTCATCAGTGAAGACACCCAAAAACTTCACCTCACTGACTACAAATCTCAACACCATTGACTCTAGACATCAATAGGTTTATTTTCTTACAAAATATCACTTTATTGAAAACTTATTTAGTTAGTGGACATCCGAGGTTTGTCAACAACTTTTTGTTTTGCACAGTATTTTTTCATACAATTCTTTACATACAGAGCTCTTAAAATATTCATAAACACATCATATGCTCTGTTTACATCATCAACATACACATCCTTCCTGTTTTGTTTTTAAAATAGTCTTTCAGTTTCTTAAGAGTTGTTTTTGGTGCATGTTTATCATTTTCTTCTTTATTGTAGCTGCTGTATTGATAATTATCATAAATTGTAAAAACTGTTATAGGATCACTGATATCAGTCCTCAAAATTACTACCTATCCCCTCTCCATTTTTTTTACTTTAGTAAAAATATTGTCATTCACTGTTAAAATATGAGTTGTGATTCTTGTTGGTCTGGAAAGTAATGGATAAAGACTCAAACTATACGCTGAGTTTTTAAACCAACTGATATTATTTGAGTCAGTTAGATTTCCCAAATCAATATTAAAACCTCCACACAAAACAGATTTATTACAACTACTTTCAAAGAATCCCATGATTTTATCAGTGAATAATTCTTTATTTAAACCTGGTGATTGATGTACACAACTAGTTATTTTTAGAGTTTTCATTTAATATCTCAACTGTAATTATTTTCATTACAATATCAAAAACTGTTGACATTTTATCATTTATTTTACACTTTAGTTCAGCATTAATGAACAAATCAATTCCACCACATCTTTTATTACTTCCACTCATATAATATAGTCTATATCCCTAAATTTGAAAGTTATTAATACTACTAATACTAATTAAATTAATAAAAGAGACCTCCATTTGCCATTTTAATGTCGATAAATTGTTCCTCATGATAATCAGTGATTACATGAAAAAATAACTGAATCAATCATACCCTGTCCATTAATATGTATTCAGATCTACTTTGTCCATTTGTGTGTCAGATTTGCTCATGTTAATTCCTTTTTTCATCAAAGTTGTTTCAGTCATTTAAATGTGAAAAAGAAGGATTTAAAAGTATCATATATCTAATTTAACTCCAGGTAGCAGCACAGGTTAGCAATAGCGCTAACAACTGTTATATATGTTTGACAACAACTTGTTTGGCCCTCCACTGTCCAGAATGGTACAAAAATAAAAATAAAAATAAAATAAAAAACAATGTACAAAAAAGTTGTGAAAACCAATTCCAATTTTAATGTAAACTAAAAAGCAAAAAACAAAGCGAATAAACCTAATGAGAGGAGCTGTAACTGCCTGTCACCTCCACTAGGAACCGCATTAGCAGAAGTGATCAAGGTGGGGGGTGAAGTAGTGGTGGTGGTGGGGGGTGAAGTAGT